TAAATATGTAGGTATTTTTGTGAAGATCATTAATACTGCAGATATTTTTGAAGAACTATATGCCATATTCTTCAGAATGTTAATATATTTTTTAATTCAAGATATCATTTTATCTAAACGTCTGAGTATGAATAAGTTTTACTCGTACTGGAGGAATTTTATTAGAACTATTAGCAAGCCAAAATGGTATATGCGATCCATATGCGATCTTCATATGATTATTCGCTTCCGATTCAGTCTATCTTTTCAACCGACATAAAAAAAGGAGGTTTCCAATTCAGTAATATTTTTTTATGTTTGTTACCTCATAACTCCGTCAGTTATAAATTGATTTAAAAAAACATTCTTTTTCTGAAAGCATATACTTACAGTTTGATTCCACATAAATTTCATCAAAATCGGTTCGGTAGTTTAGTTTTTAAAATAACTTTTTTTTTTAATTTTTAACTACATATGAGGTCGGTTTTTTTATGGAATACAATTCTAATTATTGATGTTAACTGTTTATCTCCAATTTATATGATTACAAAATCCCATTATATATAAATGATTACAAATATTCAATTGTGTATAGCGCAATTTGCAGCTCATTATTTTGATATTGAGAATTTTAGTTCTTGACAGCGGAGATATTTATTCTCTTAGAGTGTAAACTATATGAATCATTATAATGTATCATCTATACTTATATAATATTTTATATTATTGTTTTTTATTTCTGGTTTATCCTGAATAAAATTGTATTTAAATTCTGCAGGTCGTGTGTCAATCTACATAACAGGTACCTACTGCGGCAAAATAATTATGTTTCTAGTCATGCACAACGTATCTACAATGTGAAGTCTGTAGAATTTTGCTGCAAATGAAATGAACACGTTCCGGTAAAGCGTGCCAGCTAAAAAGGTTGTCGGAAGTTGTTGTCGGAAATAGTAGTTTTTTTTTTTTTTTTTTTTTTTTTTTTTTTTTTTTTTTTTTTTTTATAGAACTTAGAATGGCAAACGGATGTAATAGCGGTATGTAGGTACTAAGATGGCGCCGTTTCCGTTCACAATCCATTGTTTACTCAGCTGTATTAGCCTTATGTTGGATAAAGCTAGGGTAAAGTTAAATCTTAACTGATGTTAGAAGTTCTATGTAGTGAAAGTTTACTCCAAATTTAAGGTATATTTTAGTACAGAAAGATTAATTAGTGTAAGTTAATAATGTTGAGTTTGTTAGATAGAACAATGAACTACAAGATTTTTATGAATAAAAATTAATGTTTTGTAAAATGGTGTTAATTTATTCTGATTTGCTTCTTTTATACAAGTAATATAATAGTAATAGTTAGTATAGTTATGGTAATAACTATATACTAGTTTATATATATATATATATATATATATATATATATATATATATATATATATATATATATATATATATATATATATATATATATACACATATATATATAGAAAAGCAAATAAGCTGGCAATTGCCCTAATAAAAACAAATAGCAAGTTGGTGAGTAAACTGATAGCTTGGATGTCACAATCACTGTTTAATCATGTGAAATGAAATTCGATCGAAGAATTACCTTTCGTCTGATTAATACAATATATTCCACGCCTTTTATCCCTAAGATTTCGTAAGTCAGCTAATAGTGAAGAAAGAAAACTCGAAATGAAAATCTATATCACGTAATGGATGGTGGCCCATTCGATATGCTCCCGGCATAGAATGGGCTACCACATTCGTCAGGACAATGACTAAAACACAAAATAAACATTCCCTGGTCCGTTGTCGTCCTGACGGGATGTCTCTCTGATGTATCTAAGCTCTTTTGGTATATAGTTCTCTGTACTAACTTCCAACCTTTACTAACATAATTTTAAGTTTGTTACTAACAAATTGGATTTTGTTATCTGATAATAAAGAAACTTAATTTATCATAATCGCCTATTAACATCAGTGGCGAAACGATAAAAGGTTGTTATGGATTTAAGGATTTAAAATTTGTTTACTTGATAAGCCTTTACTTATGTACCTAGTATAGCCATGATTTCTGTTACAAATGAAAATGCATTTTTTTTATGAAGTAATGTAATATTACTAAAATGTACACCTACATATTTATTAAAGTCTCAGCAAAAAAAAAAAATCTATTCGAAATGGCCTTTGATTTTTATACAGGCCTTTAATCTGTCTGGCCACGCACTGTTTCCAAGGAAAATTTCGCCATTGCTTACTCCAACGATTTTTTAAGAGACTCAATATCGCCATGGTGTTTAAAGCAGGCCATGTCCTCTAAAACTGACCATAATTTGAAGTCTAAAGAGATGACGTCTGGGCTAGATAAGGACCAGTCTTCAGCTCTTATAAAGTCCGGAACGTTGGTTTTAAACCAGGCTTGGGTAGTTTATGCCTTGTGACCAGGTGCAGAATCCTGAGGGAAAGTCCACGGTATATTTTTAAAAAGTGTATTGCTGAGAGGTTTCATAACACGATGCAAGTTTCCCTGAAGTTTCCATTCCTTTTTCACAAAAATGTAGTTTTGTCACTCCTTGATAAGACACGCCCCATCAAACCACCACTGACGCAGGATGATGTCCACGTTGTACTTTTCCGACCACTTGAGCAGCTTTAGAACTGTAAGCGTACATTTTATCATTTTGCTTATTGTAGTGTTAGTGTCGTGAAAATTTTTTCATCGATAAAGAGAATATCTGTGTCTTTCATTTGCGTATCGCGATAGAAGGCGTTTTGATCGATCCACTCTCTTTAATTGTAAAGATTAATTTAGCGCATGTTCTGTATATCGACGATAAGCACCAAGCTTCAGGTCTTGTTTTATAATAGGCGACAGAATAGAATTCCCTAGCGGGAATCTTCATTTTTTGCGATAAGATATATTATATATATATAATAAGATTTTTTACTTCCTAAAGGGGTTTCTTCGAAATCTGGCTTTAACAGCATTAACAGTCTTTGTAGTTCTAACAGCACGCGGCCGCCCGAATCTTTTCTGGTCTTCGACAGACGAGTGTTGTTGTATCTGTTGATAGTACTCTATACAAACATACGGCTAATACGAGTATCAAGCTTTTGAAGTGTCTGGAATATGACCGTCGGCTCCATTCTCACTTTGTGCAAGGCGATCACTGCAATCCAATTTTTTTAACACCCCATTCCATATTGTAATTTGATAATGAACACGAAAAAATATGTAAAATGGCGCGAAATCGAAAGAAGTTTTTAAAATCATAAACATGTTCCAAATTCAAAATATTAAAAAGTAGAAAAAAAAAACAAATGTTTTTATGTAATAGTATTTATGGCCAGACTAGTTATAATGAAACAGAGAGTGCTAAAATATTATTCTCTGTCAAGTTTTTGGTCGAGCAAAGTAGGGTACATTTGTTATCGCTGACACGAGACTGTTCTTTCATTTAGTTAATTTTAAACAAAATTACTTTTGCTTTTGTTGTCATACATGAGCTAACTTTAGTATAACGTATATGATGACTTTTATTACTTCAAGTAGCTCACATAATAACAAAACCCATGGTAATCTCATTCTCCAAACAACAACTCTAATTTTAACTAGACACAGTATAGTTGTGATCTTTTCTTATAAAAAGGATCATATAATATATATATTCTTTATTGCACTAAAACATACAGTAACAACAATAAGTTAATAACAATGTTAGCAAAGGCGAACTTTTCTCTAAAAGAGATTTCTTCCAGTCAACCTAACGCAGTGGCATAGTAATGAGTGGGCAGTAGTAGTGTAATATGTTAAATAAAATCTCATCTTTCATAAAGATAAAAGAAAGATTTATATCTATATGTTAAGCAAATAAGCTAAATAAATAATTAAATTATTTTTTTATGAGAACTGTTATAAAAATGAAATGTGTATGACTCAGGTACACAATAAACTTGACTATTGAAATCAGTACCTGTAGAGGTACGATATATTATTTAAAGTGATAAAAGTAATTATGTGCTTAATGTGAAACTAATTACAATACAGCTTCACTACAAAGTCACAGAGTACATCAAAAGTAATAGCGGAAAAGATAAATAAACGCAGAAGGTCGTAACCCGACACAAAGAGCTTTGATATTTAGAAAAGAATTTGTTGAAAAAATAATCTTGTACTGTTTAATAGGAAATGTTCTGGAACAATAAAGAAGTAATTATATTCTAACTAGAATCTTTGAAGCGAATTCTTTCTTATATTTATTTATTTGTAAAATATTCATTATTTATATAAATTAATTGCTGAATTTATGATTGCATATTACTTTAGAGCGGTTGCATCTATTTGGCTAACTCCTTTTTTGTTGTGTTGTCAGGATAAAGTTTATATAACACATTTGAAAAATCGTACGGAAAAGTGAAATATTTGGATTCCCGTACAATATCAGGGTGGGCAGTTACTATAAAATAAATGTAGTGACGAATGTTTATATTTGGAATACTATATAATAAATATTTAATCAGTCGTCATTAATTTTGAATTAGACTTTTGTGGACCAAGTTGGGGGAGAGATATATAAAAAACGTTATATTCATCACGTACATTTATAGTCACTGCCTACTCTTGTTGTCGTTTCTCCCTCTCTCATTTAAATATGACTAAAAAAAAATGCACCGTGCTGTATACATATATACGAGCACACACAAAGCGTGTGTATAATACTAACGTTGTCTGTTTATGTAGTACGCAATGACAGCAATGGATCACGCCGTTTTTGTCTAAAGTCACGGGGATGTAAGTATGGATTTTTGTTATTTTGGAATGCGACGTCATCGCTGTTCCTTGAATTACTATGGTTTCTCAACGATATTTTCCATCACTAGGGAGTTAGTTGAAACATTAAATTGTTTACTAAAAGATATTGCTGTTTATATTATCAGAAGTCAGTGGCTTCCGCCGCGATATTAGTCAACAATCTGTCGTATCTTGTCAATATTGTCATACTTACTACCTACATATTTATCAGTGAACAATCTTTTATTCTTACCTACATGTATTAGTCGTAAAATATGTTATTGAGAAACATATTTACAACGTGGTAATAATTTTGAATTATTCTAGGTTTTGATTTCCATTTACTCCTGTGTCGTTACGATTTACGTGAAAATGTATGCACATAACTTATTAGCTACTGTGGTGGTTGTTTTAATCTGTGTTTCGCTTAATGCAAAGGGAGAGAACTGTATACGTGATGACCGCGGCCTCTGTGAGTACATATTTACAAGTTGATACCTGCATGAATGTGATATTAACTATGTTTGTATAATGATACGTACCTAGGTCTCATTTATCAAATTATTTAAATACTAGATATACATTTTACCTCTAATTGTAAAGATAAAATGTTATATCGTTTTATTGTTAGCGTATTGTCCTTCAGAGCTACGAAGCGCAGGTATCTTTCTGTACTTTGTGTGGCCTTTTAGACCACACTACCTATAGACTGTATTAAAAAGAAGTGTGTTAAAAACAGTCAGAATTCAGACGTAGGCAACATATTTTTTACTGTTTTCTGTTATAGACTCCGTGGTCACGTGATCATTATCAATATACACTCAAAAATTATTTTTACCTTTTTGCTTATAGTGTTCTGTACCATTACTTGAAGGGAGTTGTTCAATACCCTGACTAGTATTTATGGAACTGGATGGACTTTTCAATTATATTATCTTGCTCTCTTATTTTCTCTCTTTTATGTTCATAAATATTTTCTAGTAGTAGTTCTATTATCTGATAAGTAAATCCGTGTACTGTGCACTGTTTTCTTCGTTAAAAATAAATTCGAAATTTCAAAAAATTGTTATCTATTAACTCTTCAAAATAGATAACAATGAATTTCGTCTCGACCGTTCATGAATTATCTGTACTCGAATGTGGATCGACTGTATGTATGAAATTGCCTATCTACTTTTCGGTGTCGTAAATATTACGTGTATCCAAATATCATCATGATTCTTTTCTGTTAAGGCGATAAGAAGTAACAAACGAATTACATATATAGCATTTCCCCCTTTTTTTTAACGTGAGGAAATCTTCCAAAGACCTTCCCAACTGCCGGAGGGAAGGCAGAGGGGGTGTGTGGGATTTTTACCCACTAAAACCTCACGACGTACCTCGAGGCACATATGTCGGGTCCCCGGCTCCCGAGTTGAAGACGACCGGAGCCCGACGCGACGGCCCGCCCTGTAGATGTTGTAGGGCAGGCCACCTCTCGTGTTTAGGATGGGGAATGCCCTTTCCATCAAATATAATATTTCCCCTAGAAAATTATTGTGTTGGGTTAAATCTTGTTGAATACATTTTGGTAGATTAATTGATGTGTTTTTTTATCTACGCATATCATCCGTCGTTGGTATCCCGACAGGTAAACCAAGAGCACAAACGTTACCTACGTTATCCTTTTCTTCATTAAAGCTACAATTTCAATTAAAGTGATCCCGTTGTCTTCTATGCGTTGTTGGACGTGGTGTAATCTGCTCCTTTTTTCTGTTAATTAGGTATCGCCGATTGTCCACCAGGGACTTACTCCTACAATCCCAGCTGCACCGAGCAAGCCATGTCACAGCGAACTTGCCGCAAACCTCAAGCAAGAGCTATTGGCGTTTTTTGTGATTACTCTAGATGCGATTGTGCCGAGCCAAAAGTTTGGGATGAAGCCGCTAAGAAATGTGTTTTGATACAAAATTGTTCTGATCAGTCGAAAATAACTGACAACGGTGATAGAGTGTAAAAACTAAAATAACATTTTGAGAATATTATGTTATTTATTTTTAATGTTAAATTACTGTCATTTGCCAATTCTTATTATAAGTAACATATATGGATTAATATTAATAACGTATTAGCCATTACTGTGAATACATTACAATATTTTGATTTAGTTATTATTGTAATTGGTATTTATTGATGTTAATAATACGTTGGCTGTTAATGTGTATTATATAAATTATAGTACACGTTGATATTTACTTAATTAATATTAATACATAAATATTAATAATAATAAAAAAATTCATAGTATAACAAAAAAAAAAAAAGATTATCTTAATGTTTCGAATGTGTACCATAATCTGTTTTGTTGATCTATTAAATATATTTAAATTTAAAAATCATCTTCAGTGTTATTTGTATCTGTATTAATATCTAAAGATTTTTATGAAGAAATTGATATAAACGTAATAACTACTATCTTATACAATATAAAACAAATAATTGTATAAATTATTTGATTATAATATTTGAGTTTATTTAATATAGATACGATCTATATTATTTATTAGTTTTTACTATAATTATTAATTAAATGAGTAATATAGATAGGTACAAGTACGGAATACAAACTGTAAAATCACACCTTGAAGTTAAGGATTTTAATAAAACTTATTTTTATTAATTTTATCTATTCGAGTATAATTTGCAATCTGTCTCCATGAACTGTGACATGTGCCCATGATATAAAGTTATTTGTAAGACTTCATTATCATCGGATATGGGTATGTGTAAACAAACTACTCCATTACATTACCACATGGGTTCCAACAGAGACAAGGGATGCGGTAGAAGTTATCTTTGTATTGGTGTGTCAAAGTCTATCCCCAATCCAAATCGAAAAAAAATAAACAAATAAGAATATTCTCTTAATTTTAACGTTTGTTTTAAACTTAAATGTAATAAATGAACCGCCTGTTCATCAAGATACTTTTTTCCAGATCGCTAAGCGGCTTGTGTTCCTAGGTAAAGATCAAAAGTTTTTAACTTATCTGCTGATATTAATATAAAAAGATAAACACGAGCTATTTAATCTTTTAACAACCTTCAGTTGTCTAAGTAATTAAAAAAATCTGTAAGTTCATTTTAAAATTTGATCTAAAGAGAGGCAAGCAAAAGCAAGAATTAGAAGAATTTGTAATTTTTAAATTTATGAGGATATTTGGACGGCACGGAATTCCTCGACGCTTAGGTACTTATTTAAATTTATTCTTACAAGGACTTTTTTTATGAAGTATTAGCTTTTAACCGTGACTTCGTCCATTGATTAAGATATGTTGATTGTTCGGGATAAAAACTGGCCTATATCCATTTCCAACCCAAATAGTAGGTGTACAGTAATTTAAAACTATTGGTTGAGCTATTAAGATGTCAAGATGTAACGAACAGACTCACGTTCACATTTATAAAATTATTAATAAGAGTTAAGTCCTGTATAACTCTCTTATTGCACATTATTATAATTTATGATTGACACAATATTTTATTGATCTCATGACTACCAAATACAGCGTCTTTTAGTGCTCACTTAGATTTACGATAGAAAGTACAATGAATATAAATGCATCCAGTGCAGTGTGATGTAGCAGTAAAGTAAATAGTATTACATTTATTTTTAAAACTTGCTATTTTTTTAAAGATCTCTAAATATATGCATAAAGGAAATTCTATGAAAAAGGAGCGTCGTACTCCCCCTGAAGAAGAGTTCCGGTTGAAGTGGGAAAAATTGTCGGAAACGACAAACACAAGTAAGTTAATAAAATTTGCTTTATACTTATATATAGGCACAGTATTAGATTTTATTAAATGTATGATAACTGAACCGGTGTCCTATGTACTCGTAAATAAGTCCTTAATTTTGGAAACAAACATACCTCTAGTGTGAATTTTTGTTTCACTTAAATATTTTTTAAGTTGCTCTCTCAGTAATTGTTACAAAAGATAAATTGCATTATTTAATTTTTGTTATTATACTAAGTTTATTTGTCATTATTTAGCGTTTAGGTATGAATAATTATGAGATATCTCTATGAGATATCCATTTGATCATTTAATCTGTGCTAGGATTACGGATAACAATGCTTTGAGATATTGTTTGATAACGTATTCATCTAATTAATAGCTTATATTATATTAATAGAGCATGTATTTGTATTTGAGTGTTCGTGAATATCACAGGTTAGTTTACTTTGTCGCTGTAATATTACTGTAGATTTTAAACCTCAATACAATATTATAGCAATTGAAAGATAACTTTATGTATTAATGTTACCTAAATGTCGATGTATGTAATTAGGTTAACTATAATAATTATTTGTTCAATTGATTTAGATATAAAGGCAAATGAATGATTTAAAATGCGGGTTAGGTAACATTATCTCAATATGTTATAGTGGCAATAATATCACATTTGTGTCCTAGTTATATCGTTATTATAGGTCTAGTCTTGTAGAATATACACACCTACTGCACAGAAAAGAACTTTTTTATTTTGAGATTCACTCAAAAATAAATGTACAAATGTACCACTGTCATAATTATGTTGATTCTAGTATTCTATAGTCGAGAGTCCGAAACTGTAATAGATGAAAGGTTTTCAATATACTTAAATTATCAAAATGCAAATATACATAATCCAATAAAAGGGAATAAAGCCTAGTTATAAATTTTACAGCTTCAAGTACATTCTACGAAAATCGCAAAGGATATATATATATATATATATATATATATATATATATATATATATATATATATATATATATATATATATATATATATATATATATATATATATATATATATATATAAAACTTTTACATTTATTTAAAGAGGTAAATTTTAAACCGTTACCGAGTTTAATTAACAAAATAAATAAAAGGATTGTAGAATATTGTACCCACAAGCGAATAATCTGTAAAATGCGCAGTAAGACAACTACTGCACTTGGCTCTGCAGCGGACAAAGCATACGTAGTAAGTCGCGTCCCCGTTACTGACCGAGAAACCTCACCTGAGTTAACCCCCTTTGTCTGTCCCGTGGTGGCTTAACTTTGCCGGCAATCAATTTCGAATTTAATTCTGGGTTATTCATAGAAATTATTAAATTATCTCTTTATATTGTAAATTAAATGGATACTGTCAATAAGTTGCTTGACAGAATGTTTCACCATAATAAATATAAGACAGGTACATAATTACTTTAGTCAGATAACAGAATTATATTTAAATATTTTTATTAGAATATAATGATAATATAATTTTTTACAGTGTCAAAAATATTTGCATTGCTGTTTTGTTTAATACATTTATATTCATAATATAATAATTAATGTAATGCTGATTGTGGTATGAAATAAAAACTTTCCATTTATTGTTTCAATTACCGTAAACGCCGATAAAATTCTACCGAACTTACCTGTTATAACGACTTGCTTTTTCCACGCAAATAACTGTCCTAATAACACGGGCCATCCAAACTCTGTAAGTGGCAATTTTAAAATGTTTATCACTTTTAACGGTGTTTTTAACACATTTAAGAAATGGTTAAAAAATAAAGAAATTTTTTAATGAATATTAAAATCATGATTACTGTAGTTATGCTCGAGCTATGTAAAATTATGATTTAAATCGCAGCTTTCAGTTTGGCAGTAGTTGCCACGCTTGGCAGGTTGTGTTGATGTTTTAAGAGGGACGCTGCTGCCAATCTCCCGACTATTTTCTTTAATTGTCTCTTACGACACCCACGGGAAAGGAAGGAGTGGTCCATTTTGGTCCCATTGGGATACCACACGGCAATTTAGATTTATTTAAAACGAACTAATTTCCGTGGCTTTATCTGCTTGAATTAGTATATAATGTACATATTCTATGTGTTAAGTTAGGATATAACCCTTTCAAATCATCATCTTTCTGCCCTTATGCCAATTATTTAGGGTCGGTGTGATATGATATTATTCATATTATACAAGGTTTTAACTTTTGGTTTTACAACCAACTGACGTTAACCCTCCTTTGGAAATATAACCCTCCCATATACTAAATATTGTTCAAAAATTGTTCAGCCGATTAAGCGTGATTGAGTGAAAACATTAAATATCTATCATTAAAGCATTTTTATAAACTTTTACATTATAATATTAGTAATATTTTATAATGCCTTCTCGTATAATGTAAGATTTAATTTTGTTTTTGACATCAAAACAGTTTGAAAGGATTATAGTATAAAATAAGAAACAAGAAAAAAATCGAATCACCTTGAAAAGTGCGTACGATTTCACCAAAATAAATGCACGTAATGTTATATGTAGTGGAATGTAAATAAAGGTAATTTAGAATATCCGTAAGTCAGATTTTTGCAGGTAGGCAGTATCAAAGAACATAAGAAACAATATCGATAATCCCATGTATCGACTATGAGCTCACAAGGGTTACTATAAATACAACCTTCGCTTCACTACTGGGAAATCTTTTTTCTTTTATACTGTCAGAGAATTTGCAGATGTTTCAGGTTTTAGATGTGGATTTTGGATTATTTTATATGTATTGGGTCAGATTTTATTTAAACCGATCACTAGCTTAGTTGGGTAGAAACACAGAGCTTTAAGAGGATCTTTACCGTACAGGGATAAGTTGACAAATATCCTCTGTACGTTTTTGCTTTAAGTACATAATACAGACATAGAATGTATAAGACAGTAGTTTTAGATAAAGTTGTTGGGGGCGTTATCAACATTTATTAATATGCAAGTGAAAGGATTTGTATGTAGTAAAGAGGGAAATATTGCGAATGAAACAATATATGTATCCTCTAGGCCGATTAGATAATCTTTGAAGGTATTAATGAGACCTTAGCTCACCTAAAGGGATGTCTGTGTCCCCCTGGAAACCATCGTGTTGAATTCCAAGTGTATTCTTCGCGATGGGCTAACTGACCTGCCTTTTCATCCTCATCTGTCACCCCTCACTGGTGCCCCGCCAGCGTATACCGTTAGCGTACCGTTACCGTAGGCGGGGTTACCATTCCATTATCATTCATTAAAAAAAAGGGATGTCCGTGTGAATTATAAAAAATATTCCCTATTATTTGCATGGAAATCTTTATTCGAGCTATTTTGATGACAAGAGAGCCATTAATTATACGAGTAGCTTTAGTTTGTCCTCTGACGTATTGTAGGGAGTGTCGGATGTAAAATAGGTTTTCACATGTTTTCCAGCTAGAATCTATTATCATGGACTATTTTAATGGGATTCCGTAGCAAAATAGCAAAAAAAAAAACCTTTTTATTTGGTCCTTGATGTGTCACCGTTGTTTGTTCGTGTTTCTCAACTTCTTCATAGAGTCTGCATTTGTAGAAGGATGGTTATGAACAAAGTGATTACGGCCTTTGTGATAATCTCTTAATGTAAATAGAATTTTCGTCTTGTAACTGAAAGACATGAACAAGCATTCCTACGTACAAAGCCATGGTTGTTTTGCTTTTGAAATAGTACCACTAATCTAGCTGAGTAAGATGCTTTTTTCAATTAACAACTGTCGCGGGCAATTTTTCTTCCAACTCCTTCCAGCTGAGAGTGGAAAAAAGAAAATAAATGGCCGTTACACCGCTCCCCGGGCGAGTTATGTAATAT